AAAAAAACCACAAATATCCCATGCATCACTCACACAGAGCCCAAACATGTAGCTAAAGACTTGACTTAAAAGCTCGTGGATATCATCATGGGGAACAACGACTGACCACTCAATCCACCAAACTTTTTATTTTAAAGTTAAGAAAGAGAATTTAATTGACCTTTAAATACCTCATATCACTGTTTGCGCATAGCCAGGGAAACGTGTTCATGTATGTAGCGGAGAAACTGTAGTATGTATTAAACATGGTATATCCATATTACATCTCTTTATGTAAACAGTGTTTACAATTACTGAACGAAATGGGTTTGTTTAAAAAAAAAAAAAAAAATCATTTTCAGCTCTGTAAAGCATTAAAGCCTGGTAGTGATCCAGTCTGTAATCACCTTTGCTTTTCTGGTTCCATGTGCATTTCTGTTACTTGCCATATTGTATTTTAATGATCTTAGACATGTTTACAAAAGTACAAAAAAAAACACTAAGCGTATTTGTGTTTTTGATTTTTTTTTTCTCTTTTCCCAAACCCGCATGATATGAAATATTTTTTTTTTATATATATTATATCTATGAATATATACATTTTTGTCGTAACACCACCACACCAAATTTGTAGTGGAGGTTCTCCCCCTGCTTAATTTTGTCATTTGCTTATTTTGTTTTGGATTATTGTAATGAGTTGCTGGGCTGTACCAGTTAAAAGACTTTATAATTAGAAATCCCAATAAATAAATTAAAAAAAAATCCACAAAACTTTTGTCGGACTTCACTTCTACCTGGAAAGAATACAACTTAATGCAGGATTGAAATATACTGTTCAGTCTGACCACTTTCATATGTCTGAAGGTGGATCATTGGCCGGGAGTTAATCATTTTCTCACGAAACAACATGAAGGAAAATCGTTTCCATGTTCTCAGTGATGACTTTGTTCCATCAAGCACCACCGCGTGCCTGCGATACACGTTGTAATCGGGCGACTGCTGGCTCTGCCCCCTGCTGTCTGTTATTGGAAGTTCCAACCTCTAATCATTCGGTAAGTTTAACATTTTTCATACTAATTACCCCCCATCATCAATACAGTCGTGTTGAAGCAGAATATATATGCCTTGTGCTCATTTTTTTTTTATAGCGCCCCCCCCAAATCAGTTGTCTAACCTGTGTTCGGGGTGTAGATAGGGTTCCTTCCTCGCGGTACTGTATGAATCAACCTACGCTGCAAATTTTAATTAGCAAGATCAGCTTCCTGGGATGCTGATCCTTCATTTTGAAACGTCTGTGTTGTACACCTTGGGTCTGACTTACCCTAAACTCCTCGGCTAACCTGTGGCCTGCGTTGCCGTTTAAGAAATACCAGTTAGCAGCCTTTGAAATCTCAGTTGGCCGGACATCCGCAGGGCTCGGAGCTGTGCGTCAGTAACCTTTGCCTCTGTGAGTCTGACGAATTCCTGCTGCCTTTATTTTGTAGCTGTTAGCTCAGTGTTCTGTGTCGTAATGGTGCTGGAGTTTGAAAAGCTAGCATTAGTCATTAAGAAAATTTAGTTTAACGCCTGCAGTGCACTTCACGCTATTTTAAAGTGATTCTTGCAGTGAATGTGGGGAAGGGTTGACTCACCCCGTAATTTGTTTCATTGGTGTGCCTCTAGAGGGCAGTAGTTACCTGCTTACCTGCATTGGCGTGTGTGTGGGGTGCAATCTTCATGGCGGTATTTTTTTTTTCTTTTCACTGTCAATAGATAAATAAATTAGCCATGTGTTCTGCTTAGTTTTGCCACTCATTTGGCTTGAAGTAGGCTTTTTGCACCTAACGAATTATTTGGTCATGCAACAGTCTTGGATGTGTTCTTTAGTTCTCTGTCTCTGAATCATTCACTGAATCATTCACTTGTTTATTTGGTGGGTTAATATAATAAATTAAAATACATGTTTGCCAAATTAAAAGAAATACTTTCAATTAGTTTTTTTCAGATCAAGCGTCGATGAAACATCTGAAAATTAGCTAAATGTAATCTGGACTGATGTCGTTCGTTTAACTTCACAGTGCAAACTTCATATAGGCTATTAGGAACTGAAAGCATTCCTACCTGAAGTTTGAGATATCCCCCCCCCCCCACACATACCCCAAAAACACCACTCAAATACCCACATTTGTTTAAAAATAGCATATTACAATAAGAGCAAAGTTCCTCAAACAGTTTTGGTACAATTTTTTTTTGTTAGTTTGAATATGACTGACGTCGTCTGATCTTGGTGTCTGGTAGCAGCGGCAGGAAGCATTTGCAGCGACGGAGACAGTAGGATGTGTGTACTGCAGCGGAAACGTGGAGCTCCATGTCAGATAGCGCAGCGCTAACGTCGGCCGGCTGAAGCAGGCCGGTGCGGTCAGTGGCGCTCGGATCACAGGGCTGCTGCGGCTCTCCGGGCACCAGCGTGCGCCCTTCACGCGCACCGCAGGCGGCCGCTTTCCCTAATAACCAGTCCCGACAGGACGCTGCTTGTGTCCCTGCTGGTGTGGTTTTAAATTGATCTCAGGCTGAGTGAGAAAGTCTGTCTTTTTCCATAGATGTAAATGTTATATAAAATTCTTCATTCGTGCCTTGGCTCCCAGCATTCAACACAAGTCCTACCGATTGCACGAAATTGTGCCTGAATATTAGGCGACAATGAGTTAATATGAACCGCCACTTCGATCTGATGATGTGGAGTTAAAGTTAATGGAGTTGCAGGTTCCAACGAAACCGACCCGAAAAGGAAACAATTTCTCGTAATCGGCTTCAAGTGTGAAATGCAGAATGAACTCGGCGGAAACACCCAGCCTTGCACGGCTTTATAATTTGTTCATATATTGTTCAGATTTTAATGGCATTCCCCTTTATAGTGTAGCTCTTGCTGGTGGCTGATCAGAGGCATTGCCAAACTGGGCTGAAGACCCGAATGATGTGTGTAGCTCGGATGTTTTTAAAACCATGCTCCCAGTTAGAGAACCGCACCTTCGGCTATTTCCACTCTCCTCAGCCTCTCCAAGAATTCCCGTCCCAGTTTTATTTAGTCCTATCTCAACAAGAAGGTAAAGACCTCCTGTTTCCAAAATTTACATAGGAAGGAGGAGGGGTGTTTGTTATCCTCCTCGACTGCCGTATCACTTTTATCTACACAACCGGATAACTAATGACCCCGGGTTTAAAATAGGATTTAAATCAGCGTCGCCATAATAGTGATTTTTTTTTTTTATTTGTGTTGTTTAACTTCGGTTGATGAATAGAATAGAATAGAATAGAATAGAATATTCCTTTAATGTCCATCAAATTTACATCAGATGGAAATTCATCTTTAACAGTGACGTAAGCACACAATACAGACAAGACTATACACAATAAACATATATCAATACAACATGGGCATGTAGAGAGGAAATAAATGTAATGTTTATGCAATAGTGAGAAAAATCTGTATTAAAAAAAATAAATTAACGAATATAGGCACCCTTTCACAATTTTGTTTGTGAGAATAAACTTTTACATCAGTGTTGCTCAACTGGTGGGTGAGAGTGTATATGTGTGTGTTTAAATTTTTTTTTTACTTTTCTTTAGTGGTACTGTTGCCATGTAACACCAACCCCCCCCCCCCCAACTTTTTTGGAGTCGGGAAAAAAGTGGGTTCTGAAACCACTGGTTTAGGCTTGCATAAGGCAGACTGAACTGTGTTCTTTCCTGTTCTGATCATTATTTAGGCATAGATGTTAACATGTTCAAGCGATGTTTGCATTTCAGCATTTTAAAAGCAAACATTCTTTCAGCTGGATTATTTCC